TATTATAGAATAGTAATTATTATTATATCTGTCTCTTATACACATCTAGATGTGTATAAGAGACAGGCCTTTCTTTAAGTAACTTTTAATTCCTAAGTAAGCACACGGTAGTACACGTTGATAATTAAATACTGGTAGGTGTTTCCGTTATATTGAGTTAAGATTAACTGTTGTTTATCGTTTTAAGTTATGTGATGGTATTTTTGTATTTTACGACGTGACCAGTCACTCAGACTACAAACAACCCTGGATAGGAACAAGTCTATTTCTTGGAAAGACACATAGTTCAGGTATTGTTTTCCATTGTGCTGGTATTTCTTGAATTGATGATCTTACTAAGAAACAATATTCACAATCTTACTAAATTATTAATTATAATATTCGTCTATACTGCGTATACAGCTTGAAGTAAATTATGTACTGATTACAGTATATTATTCACGGTGATCATATGAATACAATTACAGGCCTAGGCCTACACAAAATGTCTATGCAACTGACTCCAAAGGGGTGGTTTTTCGTCATATCAAAATACACTCAAATTTATGCGTAAGCTATTCTTCATTTATCCTCCTTCCCTACCCCCTTCGAATGAAAATCGATACCTTTTTAGGATATATATATATATATATATATATATATATATATATATATCGCTGAATTATATGTAGATTTTTAAAAATTTGATTTGAGAAGTATGCCATTACGAAACGCTTCAATGTCAAAGTAGCTATCAACATCCTGCTGAGGATGCCATCCGTTGCTAAGCCGCTCTATGTGCTATTGAGATGGATAAAAGTTGTGGTGATAATGATTTATGACGGATAGAAACCATAGTAACCAAATTTATGATAGTGCTAATATAATGATGATGATGATGATGTTGATGATGATGATGACGATGATGATGATGGTGATTAAAAAGTAGTAGAAAAATATAATAATAATATTAATAATAATCAAATCAAACCAACTCAAATATACTTTATTTTCCATACAATAAAGTAGTACAATATACATTAAGAATGCAAACAAATTGAAACAAATACATTGTATGGAAGGAGGCTACAGTAAGTTCAACAAGAGTTTTAAGACGTAGCCACCTTAAAAAAAAAAAGGTTGGAAAAATAACCGGTGCCATTAATAATAATAATAATAATAATAATAATAATAACAATAATAATAATAATAATAATAATAATAATAATAATAATAATAATAATAATGATAATAACAATAATAATAATAATAATAATAATAATAATAATAATAATATCGATATTAACAATAATATTAATAATAGTAATAATAATAAATATACCTTATAAAATGCATAATTTAAAAAAAAAAACTACCAAATCATGTAACCTTTACTAAGTGACATGGTTTTCGGCTCTTTGTTTATGTTATGGTTGAAGGTATTAACAAGATTTGGGTCCTCGACTGTCGGTGAATCTAATACAAACCACAGCAAAAGATAAGGTGGAAATGCGCACTCAAGATCAAGGCCCATTCTATGTTACGTCGGTATGCAACCGACACAACCTCATAGAGATTAAATCTTCAACCAAATCATAAGCATTATCACTACCGGGTTTGTTTTGTTTTATGATTTTACAAAAAGCTTTCGATGCCATATTCACGGAAACCATGGATTACTGCTATTTTTATATCTCGTGTAAATGCCCCTAGAACCTTGACCATTGGATCAGTACAAATGGTCAAAATCTGACCAGAATCTATAGTGGTTTTCCGAAACAAAGCACGCTGAATTGCCTG